AGAAGAGGGCACCAGACCTTATTACAGATGGTTGTGAGCCACCATGTGGTTGCTGGGAATTGAACTCAGGACCTTTGGAAGAGCAGGCAATGCTCTTAACCACTGAGCCATCTCTCCAGCCCCAGGAGATAATTCTTAAAGTGATTTTTATGTTAGTTTAAAATTTTTAAGAAGTTCTTTTGTGCCTATGGGTGTTTCTGCCCGTAGCTTTGGTCTGTGTACATTGAGCTTGCAGTGCAGGGGCCAGAGGGCGTAGGAGCCCCTGGAACTGGAGTTACAGACAGTTGTAAACTTCCCTGTAGGAGCTGGGAATTGAACCTGAGTCCTCCGGAGGAACACCAAGTGCTCTTATCTGCTAGGTCCTTTCCCTAGCCCCTTTATGTTGGCTTCCTACTGTCTACTAAATTTGTCGTTAAAAAAAAAAAAAAACATAAAGACAAACCAATATGAAACACTTGTCTAAAAAGACAAGACTCAGAAAAGCATCCACTTACTCTTCTGTAAGATCCTGAAGTCTGGAGAGTCTTCTATTAAGGTTCCTTCTCGGTACCATTCGACTTTCGGGGACGGGGCTCCTTTTACCCGGCACTCAAAGACAACCAGCTGTCCCTCAGAGGCTGACAGGTTCTGTAGCATCTGGGACGAGAGGAGTATGTTATCACCTGAGCGCTGGGAGACCACATCCCACGGAGTATGTTATCACCTGAGCGCTCGGGGACCGCATCCCACGGCGGGATTTTAGGGACGCTGTCTCCACCTCTGGATTCTTTGCAAATCTACGTCTCCAGCAGCTTCAACCCAGGGAGTGTACACTGAGTTTAGTCTGGAAGACAGAGCCATCCAACCCTTCCGGGACACTTTCTTCATTATTTCTTGCCTTTGCCTCCATTTAAATGCTAATCAAATTTATTAAGTACTAGGTCAAACATTTTGAATAAAGGAGATAATTTTTTTTAGTAATTTTTGTTTTCATTTGTTAGTTTTCTTTTTCTTTTGTATTCAATCTTTTTTTAAAAAAATATTTCTTATGGTTTATTTAACTTTATTTTATGTGCATTGGTATGAAGGTGTCAGATCCCCTGCAACTGGATCTTCAGACAGTTGTGCGCTGACATGTGGGTGCTGGGACTTGAACCCAGGTCCTCTGGAAGAGCAGTCAGTGCTCTTAACCACTGAGCCATCTCTCCAGCCCTGTATTCACTCTTATAATTTGGATGTTTTTTGTTTTTTATAATTCTTGCCTAAACAAAGCTTATGATATTTCGTGCATTGCCCTGTCACATTTGTAACCCTTGTCTAGTGATGTGGGCTGCATAGACACCTCCCCACCCCACAAAACAGCAATGAGTAACGCCTAACACAAAAATGATAAACCCACTTAAAAATACTACAAAGTAGGGTGGTTTGAGTCAACTGCCCAGTTTTGCAGCCTGAGTCTTGTGGGTGACAAGGTCTTGTCCCAGGGTCAAAAGGTAGAACTCTGGCCTGCCTGAACACAGCAGCTGACATTAATTCAGAGATGTCTGTGCAGTGGCTTTATGACTGCCAGGGGCCACTGTAGCCAACATCAGGATTTTGTTCTTTATATAGTGCCAAACTGGCTTGCGGAAACCATTCATGACCTGAATAACACAGAGTGGTTTATGAACTCATAAATGTGCTATTGGATTGAAAATCCCAGCTATTCCTCATTTCCCCACACAAGGTTGAAGGCAGACGACGTCATGTGTTGTGTGCTCTGTCCTCTCCCTGACCTCGGAGAAAACTCTGTGCTAAAATGTCAACTTCGGAGCCTGTAGAAACCTGTATTGGCAGTCCAGCATCTCTCTGGAAGTAATATGTAGTGGAGTTTTCATTACTGCTGACGTGAACAGGTTAGGAAATCAAGTCAATAAAAATGGTGGTGGGAAGAAAAAGTCAGGCATCGTAGCACATTCCTTTAATCCCAGCAGAGGCAAGCGGATCTCTGTGGGTTCGAGGCCAGCCTGGCCTACAAAACAAGTTTCAGGACAGCCATGACTGTTACACAGAGAAACCCTGTCTCCAGAAAAACAAACAAACAAACAAGCAAACAACAACAGTGGGAATGGTTGTGGCAGAAGGGATTGTGTAGGTGACACATGTGTAGGTTTATAAAATGGATATATGGACACACAGAGAATCCACAAGCCACGTGAGTTGCGGCTCAGTTCATTTGCAGGGGGTCTGCGGGTCCCTTTTGCAGAAGGATCCTCTAGGGAGGCCATGTTAGCCAGAACTGAGAGAAGCCCTATCTCACTATTGTAATTTCTTGTTTGACAATGAAGGCGGAGAACTGTGCTCTATTTGAGAGGTCAGCCAAGACACCTGCAAGGCCACAGTGTAGGGAGCAGGCCTGCTAATGTCTAGGGTAGGAGGTAGAAATTCATTGCAGTCAGCAATGAATAAGGGCTATCTCATGAGCCACTTAGAAAAAGCTGTTGAAAGTCAGCCATTATCCTGCAAATTGTGGAGTGTTTTCTTTTTCTTAAAGCCTATTGCATGTTTATGTACTGTGCGTCTAGGGGCTTGTGAGTGTCACGACACACATTTGGATAGCAGAGGACCACTTGCAGGGGTTGGTGCTTTCCTTCCGCCATGTATGACCTGAGGCTCGGAGACGAGTGCCTTTACCCGCGGAGGCGTCTTTCTCTTTTCCTAAAATTTGTTTTCAACTCCATGTGTGTGCATGCATGTGGGTGGAGTGGCCCCAGAGTCTCTGGAGTTGCAGCCATACGCTGCTGGGAGCCTCCTGATGCGGTCCTCTGAACATGGGCCCTCTGGGGAGCAGTGTGTGCTCTTAGCTCCTGAGGCATTTCTTCAGCCTCCACAGCTGAAGGTATTTTTTTTTTTAGATTTATTTATTAATTATGTATACAGTATTCTGTCTGCATGTATGCTGCAGGCCAGAAGAGGGCACCAGATCTCATTACAGATGGTTGTGAGCCACCATGTGGTTCCTGGGAATTGAACTCAGGACCTCTGGAAGAGCAGTCAGTGCTCTTAACCTCTGAGCTGTCTCTTCACCCCCCACTTTCTGTGGCTGTTTTGCTTTTGTTGTTCAGATAAAGTGGCCTGAAACTTGTAGCTGAGGATGACTTTGAACTCTTTCTTGTTCCTGAAGGCTGGAATTAGAGGCCTGCACCACTAAGCCTGGAAAACCTGTGGTCTTCCACCAAGTCTCCTAAGGAGATGGCTCATGCGGCTACACATACATACAGAATGGCATGGTATTTAACACAGCAGTAGATCTTAGGTGTCTTCTAATGTAGTGATGCTGTTTTGGATTAAAATAAAGGACCCAGCCTTCGGTGGTTTGTTATAACAAAACACAGACACATGGAAGGTGCTCAATCTTGACTACATTCATCTCACTTCACTAAATGATAAATCAATCAGCCCTCAATTGAGGAGGGCTGAGTTAATCTTTACTAGAAATTATGGATCTGAACTGAAGTCACTATAGTCAAAAGTCCACAGCCTCCCAAGGTAAAACGGTGTCCAAAGTACAACTCTGCCGTATTTGTCAACAATCATCTTCAAGCTCATTCATGGCAGAGCTGACAGTCTGGAAGATCTCCATGACCAGTCAGCACGGAGCCCATTGTTCTGTTCTTCCCGAAGCTTCCAGAAATAGAAGCATTTACCACAGGGTAAATTCGACCATGTGCCTGCCTTGTCCCTGCCCTGTGTCCGGTGTTACAAACATGGGCTCTTGCTTAGAGGATCTCAGCTGGCAGACACAGTGCAAGGATACCTTTGGAAACAGCATGTCCAGGGTTGGCTAAAATGCATTATCACTTAGGAGCACTTGTTCTTGCAGAGAACCTGGGTTTGATTCCTAGCGTCCACATGGTGGCTTGCAACTGTCTATAACTCCAGTTCTAGGGGATCTAGTGCCCTCTTTAGGCCTCCCTGGACACCAGGCATACATGGGGTACCATACATATATGCAGACAAAAACACTCAGCCGGGCAGGCAGATCTCTGTGAGTTCAAGGCCAGCCTGGTCTACAAAGGGAGTTTCAGGACAGGCACGAAAGCTACAGAGAAACCCGGTCTCGAAAAAAAAAAAAAAAAAACCAAAACACTCACACACATAAAATAAAATGTATACATATTTGTAAGAATAGCTCCAAGGTTCATTTTTTTATTTATCTTTTTAAAATCCAGATGTTTCTGCATCTTTGGGCATGATGCAGGTGACTGTGTACAGAGCCTTAGGCTGGAGTTGGCCCAGAAAGAGGTACTGATATAGACCAATGGGAGATGGCGAGAGGGCTCAGCAGGTAAAGGGGCTTGCCACCAAGCCTGAGGATCTGAGTTCAAACCTAGGACCTACATGGTGGAAGGAAAAAACTGACTCCCAAAAGTTGTCCTATGACCTTCACACTTGGTCCATGTTGTGAGCAACACACACACACACACACACACACACACGTAACAAAAACTCAGACAGAAGACCCTTTGCTACTTGGTTGCCACAGATACTCCAGGCAAAGGTAAGTCTCTGGATTCGGTGAGTTGGGAGGGACCCTGAAGTCCTCAGAAACCTGGATCTGGCCACTGGCCCAGTTATTTCCGGGTTTCCTGCCTCTGCTGTTATATAATGTAGCGCTCTTGAAACTCTCACTTCCCCTGCCCCCTTACGCTCTTCAAATTACTGCTGAAGCAGCCAGAGCCAGGGCTGCCGCAGCCTTGAAAGCCCGCCAGGGCAGCTGCCATTGAGTGGGAGGCGACAGGAGCAAGATTCTAATTTGGTCGCCTCCCTCCCTCCACACCCCAGAAGTGTGAATGCTGTTCTCTTCATAAGCAGAGCGAAGTGTTTCTGGTGATGCCCAGGGGAGGAAGGGTGGTCTAGCGCCGTACACAGACTGTTTCAAAACACAGGAAAGATGGCGAGATGGCTCAACGCAGAAGGGCGCTTGTCGCCAAGACTGACAACCTAAGTTCCATCCCTGAACATACATGGTCGGGGGACAGAACTGACTCCTGTAAGCTGCCTCTAACGTCACGCATGTATTGTACCCACCCCAGCCCCCCATAAGTGAATAACTCTATAAAATATTAAAAGAAACAAAACACAGACAGTGGGCTCAGGGGGTAACTCAGTTGGTACAGAGGCTGCCTAGCAGGCACAAAGCCCTGGGCGTGGCTCCCAGCACTGCATAAACCGGGTGTGGGCACAAATACCTCGTAACCCTGGCATTCAGGAGGTGGAAGTGGGAGGACCAAAGGTTCAAAGTCAGCCACAGCTACTTAGACAGTTCAAGGTCAGCCTGGGCTAGTGAGGCTGTCTAAAACAACAACAACAACAACAACAACAACAGGAGGGCTAGGGATGTGGCTCCCAGGCAGAGCAGGGCCTAGCATTCATAAGCACACACTCAGTGCACAACAAACAAATGGGAGGCACAGGCACCCCCTCTCTGAGTAAACTCAGAACCCCCATAGTCTGCTCTTAACTCTGTCACCATGTGGCCAGGCAATTCTCCTTTTCACTTAAACCTTCTATAAAAGGAAGATCATCAAAGAAGGGAAAAGGAGTTAAATAAAACTCTCTAATCAGTGCCTTTGAAAAACGACAACTCGCCGTAATTGGCAAAGACATGCTTTGTTGGACCGTATAGAGAGTGAGTCAGAGGAGCCATGCCGCCAGAAGTCCCTGAAGAGAGAGACAGAGACAAGATAACCTGGACGGATGTATGCAAATCACCTGCTCTCATCACTTGGTGGCGAAATACCATCCTTGGTAGCCGTGACTCAGAAACTCGCTAATGACACGGGCAGCGGCTGTGACCTCAATCCTGCCCTCGCCGACGGAGACTAACGCAAGCACACTGCAGCTGATAAGTCTCTCTGGAATCTGAACCCCAGCCTACCCTGCTGCCCTGTGTCCCCGGACAAGCCCATTTATGGAGGCGAGAGCTCACATTCAGAGGCCTCCTCGCAGTGTGCGTCTGAGCTGGGTTCCCACCAGCAGGCTATTAGCTTTTATAGACGTCACTGAATCTAATGATCAATTCATTTTTCCACTTTCATTTGTCAAAGGCATTTTCATCTGCCAATCAGAACATCTAATTCAGAGTCACCCCAGTAAAGCAGTTAAAATGAATGCTTGGATTGATCTTGGAAATTAAATATAAAGAGTATTAAAGGGTCCTATCTGACTCTTTCTCTTTCCCTCTCTCTCCTCTTCCTCTTTTGCTGAGGGTTAAACCCAGGGCATTGTGCTTGCTAGGTAAGTACCTAACCACTGAACTATACTCTGAACCCAGATTTTTGAAGAAAACCTTTCAAACCTAGTTTTTAAGAAAGGATCTTTCTAAGCAGCCCAGGCTGGTCTCGAACAGCCTCTTTCTGTCTCAGCCTGCCGGTTGTTAGCATTAGAGGCCTGTGTCAGTGTGCCAGACTTCACCTTTTAAACTTCTATCTGCACATCACACGTAGCTTTCAGGGTGGTTGGGGAAATCCTAAACTATAAAAAGCTTTACCTATGATGAGCATACAAGGCATGCACTCTGGGAGATAGAGCTCTCAGCACACCTAAGATTTGAAATGGAACGGTGGTAGGTGCTGAGAATGGGGAGAAAGGAGACTATTGGAGAGTATTTGGTAGTTCAGCTACTTTTGGGGAGTTGGCACTGTCTATAACCCGTGACAAGCGGGCTTGACAAATGTTATATTTCTGTGTCACTTTTATGCTGTCTCTTAGGGCTAGAGGGCTTAGCAGTGTCAATGAGAGATGACAAAAATATATCTACTAACTGTAACACACACAACAGACGCACATACATAGATACACACACATGAGCACACCAATAAACACACAGGCACACTGATACACACACACAGACACACACACACACACAGTCCATCCACAATTCCTCTTCAGAATCTTGTATCCACTAAATCATTAACATGGTATTTTCCTACTTCCAGTCTTTTACAGTAGAGAGGCTAAAACACCAGAGGCAGACTATTAAACAAACCTAAAAAAATAGATACCTTATTCACATCAGGAAATACACCTACTCAACAGGGAAAGAGTAAACAGGGATTACTCTAGACTGTAATGGATTTGGGGAAGCCAGCTTGGATGATCTCATCCAATATGGCCGAACCCCCCTTCTGGGACAGTTGTGGATCCATCGAGGGTATCAGTGCTGCTAGAAAAGCCCAGATTTTCTGTTTTTTCTTGAAATCAGGGCTCCCCATCTTGGGCAATCTAGAGATGTAGCGTTAGATGATTCTTTGCTGTGGGGGGCTGGCACCCTGGGTGCTGTACTGTGCTCAACAACATCTCCGAATGCCGTTAGCACAGCCCTCTCGTGTGGCAGCCGAAAGTGTTCCCAGACATTATCAATGACCCTTGGAGAACAAGATCAGCCACAACTAATATCCATAACTCAAGTAATTATTTTTTTTATAGAATAAAAAAATCTCTTTGGGCTTACATGTGCTGTTCATACTAAGAAGAACATCATGAAGATGTTACATTTGATCTTTATAACATGAAAAAAATCCAGTGTGATGTATTTTTTCTTTTAACCTTTGAACTCATCGTCTTGAGCAACAGTGTGTGCTGCACACAGAAGAATCATCTTCTTAGAAGTGGGAAAACTTGTTTCTCCTCCTGATTCTACCATTAACTAGTCCTGCGATATTGGCTGAATCTTAGTTTAATCTCTCTGACCCTTCCTTGGATTTTTCCTTTGTAAATGAAAATCTCTAACTGAATTTTCAAGTTCAAAATACAAAGACCGTGTGATTCAAAATTTGGTGACTCTATAGCTGCTAATACCAAGGAACAGAAGAGTGAGCTCTTTGTCCTAATCCAGGCTTTATGTTAAATCTCCTAAAATGACTTAGCTCTGTTTCCTTGAGCACCAAAGACCAGCCCCACAGCCAGATCCTCCTGAAAGTCAGGATACGTCTCTAGAACAAGTAGCCGGCGCCTTGTCAGCTGAGTCCAGAGTGACTGTTTAACAACCTCTAGAATAGCATAAAGGTCGGAGTTGTTAGTGGGGAGTACACTTTCCTTGCGACAAGAACTGCCATTAGAAATCTGAGACTTGGGGCAATGAGGAACTGGGTAGCCAATGGCCTGAGGAGCAACATGCCTACGTTTTATTGTGAGGGCTGTGAGGTGTCTCTTACACGTGATCTATGAGGAAGACACGGCAGCGGTCAGAAACACAAAGCGAACATTGAAGACTAATACCAGAAACGGGTGTAGGAGCAGACCTGGAGCCCGACTGAGAAAACAACAGCTGCACTTCAACAAGGAAAGATACCTCCAGGTCCACTCTCCGCTCCTCCTCCTCCTGCAGGGGCCATGATCCCACCTCCCCCGACCCCGGGTCTCCTGGGTCCTCCTTGCCCTGGCAAGAGGCCTGCACCCCACATGGGAGGCTTTCCCTGGATGCCAATGAGTGGCCCTCCTGCTCCTGGAATGAGGCCACCCATGGGAGGCCACGCGCCCATGATGCCTGGGCCTTTCAACAATGAGACCTACTGCTTGCCCGATGATGGTCCCACTCTGCCTGACATGACTCAGCCAGATTAGAGCAGAAAAGCTCTTTGTCGGTTTTGGATTTCTTGTTCTGTTTCACCTGGTGATCTCGTTGCTGAGCCTGAGTGTCTTCTAGCTACATGACAAGGAAGGGCTTCCCCTTCCTAACAAAGAGGAGGGTTCTGGAGGAGAGAAGTGGCATGGCAAGGGTAGCTTGCAGCCGGGCAGTGGTGGTGCACACCTTTGATCCCAGCACTCGAGAGGCAGAGGCAGGCGGATCTGCATGAGTTTGAGGCCATCCTGGTCTACAGAGTGGGTTCTAGGACTGACAGGGCTACATAGAGAAACCTGTCTCAAAAAAAAAAAAAAAAAGGAAAAAAGAAGGAAGGAAAAGAGGGAGGGAGGGAGGGAGGGAGGGAGGGAGGAAGGAAGGAAGGAAGGAAGGAAGGGAGGGAGGGAGGGAGAGAGGGAGAGAGGGAGGGAGGGAGGAAGGATGGAAGGAAGGGAGGGAGGGAGGGAGAGAGGGAGAGAGGGAGGGAGGGAGGAAGGAAGGAAGGAAGGAGAGAGAAAAGAAGGGTTGGGGATGTTGCTAGCTTAACTGGTGGAGCTACTTGCCTTAATACACACAGGCTCTGACCTGAGTTCAATTCCCAGCAACGAATAAAATGGGTATAGCTGTATACACCTGTAATCCCAGCACTCAAGAGGTTGAGGGAAAGAGCACCGGGAGTTCAAGGTTATCTTAAATTACCTAGCAAGTTCAAGGCCAGCCTGGAAGTGTGAGATCCCGTCTCAAAAAGTAAAATAAAATAAATAAGCCTGGGGCTAGACATGAAGCCATAGAAACGACCCAAACACAGAAACCCTTAAATCCTACACTGTACTTCCAAAAGACAAATCCTGAGATAAAATCAGAGGATCTTAGGCCCTTTGTCTGGATTCCCTGGTGTCTCGGGCCCTGGCAGAAAGAAAGCAGCCTTATTTGATTACCTTTGTAAACACTGGAGCCGCAATGATAGGCTTCCCATCCAGTCCCTGCAAATAGCTGGTGGGACTCTGACACTGTAAGAAGAGAAGCAACAATACGTTCATTGTCACCAGGGTTGCTGCACGGACAGACTGAGATAACAAATCTACAGACTTCGTTATATAAAATTAATCTCAAATCAAAAGACCAGTGTTTTCTAAATTCACAAATCGTAGACTTGAGATTGTAGACTGAACCGATTGCATTTCTTCCTAGGTCAGGCTGGCTATAAAATTACACTTCTCCCACCCCCATGGTCCAGGTAACTAGCCCTACTCTGAAGAGGGCTCAAGTCCCTGGAGCTACACAGATCATTGTTTAAAAACCAAGGGACTTGGACTCAAAGTTAGATAAGTAATTCTCATTATATTTTAAGCTATAGATCAATACACCAAAATATATTTGTTTAGATTATTATTGATATGCAGCAAGTACATTTAGAAAGAATAATTTCATGTTTTAAAGTACATGTGTATATAAATATTTTTATACGTGAATAGGAAATGCCTGGAAGTCTCTCCTAGCAATTATTACTATTGATAGGAGATTCATCTGAGGATAGAGTGTAGAAATACAAGCTTGACTAAAGTTGATTTTTTTTTTAAGATTTTATTTTAATTTTAATTATATGTGTAGGTATGTATCTCTGTTTGTGCATATGCCTGCAGGTGCCCATGGATGCCAGAAGGGGCAGCTGGATCCCAGGAACCAGAATTAGGGTTAGTTGTGAGCTGCCCACTGCATCTTAACCACTGAGCCGTCTCTCCAGCTCTGATTAAAGTGTTTTGTTTGTTTGTTTTTGGTTTTTTAATTTATTAAAAAATACCAATCTAACTTCCCACTCCCTCTCCTCCTCCCATTCTCTCCACACACCCTCCCATCCCACCCCCATCCACTTCTCAGAGAGGGTAAGGCACATTGCTTTGGGGAAAGTCCAAGGCCCTCCCTACTATGTCTAGGCTGAGCAAGGTATCCATCCAAAGAGAATAGGATCCCCAAAAGCCAGTACATGCAGTAGGGATAAATCCTGGTGCCACTGCCAGTGGCCCCTCAGTCTGCCGCAGCCATGCAACTATCAACTACATTAGAGTTTTTACTTAATATGCTTCTATACAGAATGCTTTATAATAAACACTATCATCAACTGGAAAGATATGAGTCTTTACTCTTTTTTGAAAAAAAGAAAAACTACTTCCTTTTTGTCTTAGGAAGTAGAATTATTTCATTTTCCATGAAATGAAGTTAAGATGTACACCCATTGGTTCACATATGATCAGCACTTTTTATAAAATGGGGTTGCCAGCTACCAACTTGTGAAACGTCTCTTTTCCTATGTTGTTTTCCCAAGGAGGAGACTAGGTTCCCAAAGCCATCGGAAGCACTGAGCTCATGCAGCCGAAGGACAAAGCGATTACTTAATGATCAATTACAGCAGCAGGCATGACCTTGCCACGCAAGGCGGTCATGGTCACTTGCACTCAACCTAGATTCGTACCTGCTGGACGGTGGACACTCTGGGCTGGCCTTGGGCTACTGGAGGAATGGCTGCAGAGGTAGTGGGAGGAGATGACAACTCATTTGGCTTCTGGATTCTGAGAAATCATTAAAATATAGATTATAACACAGAACTAGAGCTGCTTGTGAAAGTCAGCAAAGCCAGAAATGCCAGCATTGCTTGCTGTTGGCTAGAGCAGGTCTTTGACGGTATTCTGCAAGTTTTCACCGACGTTTCGTTCTACACATTCTGTTGGGCAACACATATGAGGATGACATTCTTAACCTTGGATTCTTTGCTTGGGGTACGGCTAGCGATTCAGACACATCTACAGTGACACGCACAGCACAGGCTGGAGATAATTTTTGAAGATCTATTTCGCTGCTAATTTCCTATTGCTCATTTCTTCTTTTTTTTCTTTTCTTCTTTCCACTTCCTGCCCTCTCCTTTATTTTTTTTTTACTTTCTCGTTTGAGACAGGGTTTCCCTTTGTAGGCTAGGCTGGCCTTGAAGCCATAGTGATCCTCTTGCTTCTGCTTCCCAAATGCTGAGATTAAATGTCTGCCCACTAAATTTCTCTCTCTCTCTCTCTCTCTCTCTCTCTCTCTCTCTCTCTCTCTCTGCTGGCCTTGGACTGGCTGTGTAGCTGAGGGGGACTTTGAACGTCTGACCCTTTTGTCTTTACCTTCTGAGGGCTCCGATTAAAGGCGTGAGTCACTATGCCTGTTTTATGCGGTACTGGGGATCAGATTCAGGGCTTTGTGCTCACTGGGCAAGCGCCCCATCAACTGAGCTAAGTCCCTAGCTCCTCCCCTTTCCATTTTGGGCAAGGAAGAAAAAAAGAGGCTAGGCTTTATAAATCGTTGTGTATGGGATTTTGCCCTGGCATAACGTAGAAATATCCCGAAGTTGACAAGCTCTTCAAATTTATACAATTTAACTTAAGAGTGTTGAACCACAAAGTACTCTGGAGAGGGAGGATGAAGGAAAATGAATTTTGTGAGGAAGATAGAGGTCTGGGGATCTAGCCAGAGAACCTGGGGAGAGAGATAGCCTAAGGCAGAGGGAAAGGCTGTCCTCTCGATGGAAGACTCTGGTCGTCCCAAAGAGCACTGGGAAACAGTAAGCATTGGTTTTACAGGGCCCTCAAGATCTTGACCACAAGCCTTTCACCTATGGCCCGTGGAGACCTGTGGTCACCGACAGGAGGCTACCCTTTCTTTGTTCTGGATGTTGCCTCTTAGTTTCTTCATCTCTACAAGGGGTAAACAGCCACTCACAGCCCGTCAGTCTTTTAGGAGGGTTAAAGAGCTAACTCTCATCAGAAGATTAGCATGTCCTTGTTTCACCACGCTCAGTACGGATGCCTGTGGGATCCCTACACAGCCAAGGAGGTCATGAGGACACAGAATGACTCCCCTCCCCGCAACAGGCAGCATGTGCTCTAAGGAGCGAAATCCCATGGGCTATCGCTGTCTCCACAGCGTGTTTCCCTCTACAACAGGAGCGTCACTTGATTTCTCACACAGCTACTCCACATAAAGAGAATTTCTTAACCTTCGCTGTGGCTAGGTGTGTCCCTAGGATGACTTCCTGGACGTGGGCCATGAGCGAGAGTGATGTGTGCAGCTTAAGACAGACGACTCAAAAGGAGGTGGGCGTGTCCTTCTCGTCTTCCTTTCTTATTAAGGAGATGGGACCGCGTGTTAGCATGAGGTGAAATGGCCACAGATCTGGCCACAGGAGACCTGTGTTGTCCCATGCTGGTACCCAGTAGACTGAGAAGCCTGTTTGCTAGACAAATCCTGATCTGGATGTAAATGAGAAATGAATACCAGTGTTGCTTAAGTCACAGTTAATCTGGTCGCTGTTGTGTACAACTGAAGCTAAAACCTTTGTGGTAACAAGTAAAGCAAATGAATACATGAGCTCTCTTCTACTTATTGAAACTTGTAGATCAACACTCGTACCTATCAGCCTTTGTAACAGGACCCGGGAGCCCCCAAAAGAGGTGCAATGATCGCGTGGCTGAGCAGGAGAGGGATCATCGGACTGGGTGTGGACCATGAGTAGGAATTTCGCAACAGGAAATCCCACAAGGTGCATGATTTAAAGGAAAAGCTGTAAGTGAATTGCTGTGCTGTCTGAATGAGGTGCCGGCCACTTGGAGAGCCTGCTGTAGAGGGGACAGAGGGCAGCCTGGTTGGCATTCTCCTGAAGACAGTGTTGTAGGGAGGCCACGTGAAGATTTTCCAAAAATGTTATTTGTTTCATGTTTGATTTTAATTTTCTACAGATAATCTTTTTTTAGTTTTTGTTTGTTTTAGCTTGTTTTTTTGTTTTGTTTGAGACAGGTTTCTCTATGTGCCCTTGGCTGTCCTGAAACTCGCTCTGTAGGCCAGGTTGGCCTTAAACTCACAGAGATCCACCTGCTTCTGCCTCTCGAGTGCTGGGGTTAAAGGCATGCACCACCATCACCTGTCCTCAGACAATCTTTTCTAAGCCAGGAGCATGATGAGACCAGAACGATCTGTTTGAGAATAATTGGAAGCACTTCCAAGTCTATAAAAGAGAGGCAGAAGGAAGGGCCTTTAACGAAGTGATAGCACACAGACCCAAGGAGGAGGAACGGGGCAAAGGCCTCGAGGATGGTGGTAGAGAGGGGTAAAGGGGGAAAGAGAAATAAATCTTTATAATGTTCACACGTCTACAAGAGCGGAGAGCGAGTTACTGTAGGGGTAGATGCGCAGAACATTTGAGGACTAAGATGTGATTTCTCCCCTTCCAGGGCTTCCCCTCTGTGGGGAGGGCAGGATAATCCCACAGCTCTGTGAAGCCTTTCTTTCTTGCTTGACCAATGAGGTATCCATCCTGCACAGCCTACCCATGGCCATATCCCACAGCATCTCATTACTCTTGCCCATTTCTTGCCATACTTCCTGTACACGTCCCTCCACTAGACCTTAAATCTCAAACAGGCAGGAGGCCTGTGGTTTTACTCCATGCCCACTGGATCTAGCGCAGTACCTGGGCTATAGAAGGGGTACATCAAGGTTGTAATAGCTACACAGATAAAACTTTACTCAGTACCACTGTTTAGCAAAAGAGCTATGACTTGCCAAGACATTTATATTGTCTAAAACTCATGGCAATCCTCCTGTCTCAGCCTCCCAAGTGTTGCAATTACAGGTGTGTTAGCTTTATAAGTACTATTTTTAAATGTATTTTAAAAGTTATTGGGTTATAGTTTTTAATCCTGTAGACAAAACCATGATAATATTTCATTTTTTTAAGTATCAGGAAGATTCAAATTAATCTGCTGGGCAGGATTTAAGCAAAAACAAATTGAGTCTTCTCCAAATCTGCCCATGTGTATGTACATATATATGGTTTTTCATGATGTTAGGACCGACCGTGGAACCACCTGCTTCAAGTTCTAGACATTAATTAGGGGTTCTCCTGGGGCCTGAGGATGTTTAGGCTATAGAATTACCGATTCATCTCTTCTTTGTTAGGGTCCCCTTCTGAGTCAGAGGAAGAAACTCCTAGAGAAATAAAAACAAAAGATGGGATTTTAAAGATGATAATCTAGTACACAAATTCATAGGCATTTGAAGCTCTGAAAAGGAATCTTAGGCTCAGGAAGGAACCCAGTGGCTCCTCCCTTGAACATCTAATCTGTCATAGGAGGAAGTAAACCCTAAGAATCGAAAGGAGTCGATTAAGGACATGCGCCCAGTTAGTGGTACAATTCAAACACACAGGGCCACGTTCTAAATTCCAGGGTGTAAAACACCTGCCAAGAACTTTGGACTAACAGGACAGTTTTTGCAGGCATTCCCCGGTGCTCATAAATCCGCACAGAGTGGGTGAAAGGGGGGATTATTCCGGATTCCAAACACTGCAAGTGTAGGTGGGTGCTCTTCCGTCCTGCCCTAATATTAACAAGTCATCCTCCAAATTGGGAGTGGGAGTGTTCGATGCCCAGATGCCAGAGTGGAAAAGCAAGCCAATAGCGATCCAATCTCAGTTCTCCTACCAGGTCCTAGATTTATTTCTCCGGATCGGAAATTCCAGGCATATACAGTAGAGCTAAACCTGGAGGTGTTTATTGTACTCCAAAGACTTGAGGTTAAAAACATGGGACACATTTCTAGGAACGTATTTCTTCACTAAATGTCTGTCGAATGTTCACCATGTGCTTGGTTCTGTGGAAATTATCAGAGATAGGGAGGAATGAGACCATTTGGACCTTGCAGTCTTCTTGGCAAATTAGTGTTTAGTCCATGATCACTCGATATGTAAGCGCTGGAGGCAAGGTTTACCTAAGCCATTGTATAGGCAAGAAAAAGTACTAGAGAAAGATCCTCCAGCTAAAACTCAGAGGATGAAGCAAATAGGAGCGTAAGCTTAACAGATAGCCTAGAACTAAAAACTGATTTCTCCTCAAAAATTATTCATGCTTTCATGCTTGGTACTGTTGCAAACACCCCAAATGATTCAAGCGGTCGCCAGACTTCTATCCCTGACTCTCCGAGTGTACATCCTTAACCAGCAGTGAGGGTAAGTCAGACCATGCTGTGTCTCTGCTTAGAACCTTCCAGAGTTTCCTTTGTTACTCTGACTGATGAAGACTTAGAATCGGCTCACCTGCCTCCCTCCACCTCCCCCTCATCTTGAACTTCAGGCTTCATTTCCTATTGTTTTATCCTTGCTTGCTCTACTCTGGCCACACGAGCTCAACACTTCCCATTTTATTATAAGCTGTTTTTGTTTATTATTCTTACTATTATTGCGTGTGTGTGTGTGTGTGTGTGTGTGTGTGTGTGTGTGTGTGTCTGTAGGCAGGCATGGAGGTCAAGCGACAATTTGGGAATTGGTTCTGTCCTTCCACCACCATGGACACCAGCGATCAAACTCAGGTTCCAGGCTTTTATATTTAGCATGAGGCATCTCGCTGGCCCAACACTCTGGCTCATCTCTACCTCTGGACTGGGGCTCTCTCACCTCTGGGCTGCTGCATTTGCTGATTTCTCTGCCTGGAGTAGAGTTCCCTTGACTTTCCTATGACCACCACTCCCTCCAGGTCTCCCTTCAAATGCCACCTGGTTAGTGACATTAGGTCACCCAATCAAAACTTACAACACACACAATTTTCTGTTTCTTTTGTGATGCTGCGTCTTACCATCATTTATCTCATTTGTCTGCAGTTTCTCCCATTATAATGCAAATCAACATATCATCCATCTAAAGACCTTTGTCTACTTGATTCATGCCTATTATCCCCAGCGTCTAGATGGACAGAATAGACCCTCATCAAATGCGTATCTAATTACACATACTTATACTTTGATAGTGTATGTCAGGCCTCAGAAGCATGTAGCCGTACCTTCTATGTAAATCTCAGCAGAAGTTGAGTCTGTCCCGTAGATGTTGGAAGCAAAGCACGAGTATCGTCCTGTGTCCTCCTCAAAGGCTTCGGCGATGGTCAGCGAGTGCAGGTTTCCGGCCTGCACGATGTGGATGTCTGGGGAATTTTCGAGCTCTTTGCCTTCACAATACCACCTGCAAGGAGGAGAACATGGCCATCCGACACAAGCAGAAGAGGAAAGTCGCCAGGCATGGTGGAATTTACCTATAATCCCAATCCTGGGGTGGAGGGGGGGTGGCGGAGGTAGCAGAATCACAAGTTCAAGGCCATCCTAGGCTACTCAGCAAGTGGCAGACCCTGCCTCAAAACAAGGACAAACGCCACTCGAAACCAAACAAACAAAACTAAATAACATCAAAGACTCAATAGCAGAGGTGGCTCCAGATATTTTTTGAGAGGGGAAATGGACAAGCTTTGAGTCAAGAATATTAACAATCCTTTGTCTTGGTATTATTTGGTTATAACAGTGAGAAGTTGCACAGTTAATTTACTCCATAAATCGAAAAGGGACTCTTATTGGAAAATACGCTGGCGAGCTAGCTCAGAGGTTGAGTTCCTACTGCCTTGGCAGAGTAGCTGAGTTTGGTTCCAAGTGTTCAGGTCAGGGAGCTCACAGCCCCTGGGGATCCCGGCTCCAGGGGATCTGATGCTTTCTCTCCTCCACGGGCACTGCACTCCTGCACACAACCACACATACACACATGTTTTGTTTTGGTTTTGGTTTTCCGAGACAGGGTTTCTCTGCAGTTTTGAAGCCTGTCCTGGAACTCACTGAGTAGACCAGGCTGGCCTCGAACTCACAAAGATCCGCCTATTTCTGCCTCCCAAGTGCTGGGATTAAAGACGTGCACCACCACCACCTGGCATATACACATCTTTTTTTTTTTTTAAAAAAAAAAAAAGAATTATGCAACTGAGAGATGTTGACAAACCAGACGCTATCAATCACAAAGCTAGGACTGTGATGCAGATGTTCATTTATTCCCACATTTTTGTGCATGCACCAGAGGCTACTTCATCTTCTCTAGAGAGCACCAAAAAGGTACTAAGTGTTTGCGATGTCAGATGTCTGACATTACAAGAAAATTAACTCCTTTTATCAATACTTCTCCCAGGGCTGGCCTAGCCATAGCCAATAGCCCAAGCTAAATGTTTCTATGAATGATGCAAGGTTTGTTTGTTTGTTTGAGACAGTTTCTCTGTATAGCCCTGGCTGTCCTGGAACTCACTAAGACCAGGCTGGCCTCAAACTGAGAGATCCACCCGTCTCTGCCTCCTGAGTGCTGGGTTAAAAGTATGAGCCATACGCCTGACTGGTCTTTTATTTTAATTCTATATACTTAAAGTTAAAACTTTTTTTTGAGGGGGGGGGGTTCGAGACAGGGTTTCTCTGTAGCTTTTGGAGCCTGTCCTGGAACTAGCTTTTGTAGACCAGGCTGGCCTGGAACTCACAGAGATCCACCTGCCTCTGTCTCTAGAGTGCTGGGATTAAAGGCGTGTACCACCACCGGCTGGTTTGTTTTACTACATATAGCATACGGGGTTTTTTGTTGAGGGGGGCAAAAGTTTATATAAAATAAGATGTGGACTATTTAGGGGGTGGAGAGATGGTCCGGTGGTTAAGAGTGCATATTGCTCTTGCAATGGATGCAGTTTGATCCCAGCATCCATATCAAGTGGCTTATAATTGTACGTAACTATCCTAGCCCCAGGGGACCCAACACCCTCTTCTGGCTTCCACAAGCACCTGCATTCACGTGCATAGACACATACACATAATTAAAAAAAAACATGTATCCTTAAAAAAAGAAAAAATACTTAAAATGTGGAAGTGCATGATGAGAAAAATGAACATTGAAATTAAACAGAAACAATTTCTCACATAACAGTTTTGGGAAAATCTATTGATCCCTCTCATATATATTAGTGACAATAAAAGATAGTATCATTCTTACCAAAGGACTCCGGAAGTGATGCTAAAATTACAGATACATTTTATTCTTGGAACCACCTTATTGGAATCAATGTACAGAGAGACTTGAAGTCATACGAAATGATAAACATACAGGCTACTTGTTGAGATTAGCAAGCGATCGGAAACAAGCTAACTGTCCGTCATCAGGTCGCTGTCCTCCAAGATGCAGCCACACAACAGAAGAGGATGAGAAGAAGCACCGGTGTCAGTGTAGACGGAATTCTAAGACATGTTTAACCCCCAAGTAGCTTAACCCCTCCCTCCTACCACTTGACAAAGCAGGATTTGGAGGCTCACTCTAGAAATCACATCTGTTTACCTACTTTTCACAACCAAACTGTTCTCCACTCCTGCATTAAACTCGTCATGGTCACCCCGGTATCCAAACCTCCGTCCAGGTTCTTACCCTCTTCCTCTGTTTTTTCTGCACCTATAAATATAACTCACCCATTGCCATTCGGCTCAGATATCACCTCCCACACACGGCTACACAGGCCCCCATGGTCAGCCCGTTTCTAATTGCACCTTTAAGAAACGAGCTCTCTTAAGTCGCGACAGTTTTGGTGATATAGGATCTTCTCTGGGTCTCTGTTTTGAAATTCTGTTTGTCTCGCTAATTTCACTGGATTGTAAACTTGTAGAATTCTGCCTCCACAAGGAGAGGTCTGCCTCTGCAGAGGTCAGCGCAGCTCTGTCTGCTCTCTCTCTCTCTCTCTCTCTCTCTCTCTCTCTCTCTCTCTCTCTCTCATCCTTCAGCGGCAGGCACTGGCCTTTCTATTCTGTGAGCGCACTGAGCCCTTCTCTACCATGGATTCTTTTTGTTTATTTTTTAACTGATAAAGAGGTCTTATTATATTAGTAAACATTATTACATGGGGGAGCATTTCTGCCACAGCATGAGTGTGGCAGCCAGAGGACAACTTGCAGGAGTCAGTTCTCTCTGACACTAGGAAGGTTCCAGGGGATTAAGATCAGGTCGTGAACTGGGATTGGTATGTGAAACAAACAAACAAACAAACAAACAAACAAACAAACAAACTCAGGATGTCAAAGTTTGGTGGCAGGTGCCTTTACCAGCTGAGTCATCTTCCTGTAGGCCCCTGAGATAAGATCTTACTAGGTACCCCAGGTTGGCCTGAAACTTGTTTTGTAGCCCAGGCTGACTTTAGGCTTTTGGCCCTATCTCAGCCTCCTGAGTGCTGGGATTACAGATATACACTCCCACAATTGGTTCCACTGTGGGACTTTTGTGATACCTAATATCTGCCACAGATCTTCACAAAAATAAGTCTCGCTAAGTAAGAGGACTGCACGGATGTCACCTTCTGGGAGAGGCTTCCCAGACCCTTTCCCAGTGTGGCCTCTTTACTCACTGCATCCCGCTAACCAAGGTATTCGTCACTTTGTGTAGCTGTGACCAGAATACGTTAGATAACAGCATAAAAGGAGGAAGGGTTTATCTTGGCTCACAGTTTCAGGGAGCTTAGTCCTTGGTTACTTGAACCCATGCACTTGGGCTGAACATTCTGGCAGCAGGAACATGAGTCAGAAGAGGCCTTTCACTTCATGGCAGACAGGAAGCAGAGAAAGCAAGGCCAGGAGTCAGCATCAGGTGTCACCTTTACCTCCCCCCCCCCACCCAAACAACCTACTCCCTCCAACTGGGCCTACTTCTGAAAGTTTCTAACTTTCAGCATGGGGAGCTGGAAGTTCAATACATAAGCCCATGGGGGACTTATATATCCAAACCACAGTACCTTCATTTGTCATCCTCTCAGCATTCCCTACCATTTGAGATTTTATAAACACTGCCAATGTTTGACCTCCCTCTGCACATTAAAGCCCACAAGCGGACTTCATCAGTTCGATTTACCACCACGATCCCATAACCTCCAGCAGCGCCCTGGCGCATGGTAGGTACTCGGGAAATTAATTAATTAATTGTTGGAAATTAAATTAAGTGTTGATAGACTTCTTGAGCCACGAGATGATGGGAAACCTTCCTAGTTGATGGTGTGTGAGTATTTGTTGGTCTCGGCAGATTCCCCGCCTGTCTCTAAGCAGCAGACACGGGACCTGCAGCTGCCCAGACAGGTTCCTGAAGCTCCCAGAACTAACCCAGACTACAGGGAGTGGCTGTGAATGAACCTGAAAGAGGTAGAAATACTGGGCTTTCAATTAAATACTGCACATTGGGCACATTTGTCGTGTATCACCCATAAAATGAAACAAAAAGGATTTTTTCCCCAGTTCGGGAGTGTTGGAACAGTTTCTTGTAGCCAAGGCCGGTTTCAAAACTTGATGCGTGTACAAGGATGACCTTGAGTTCCCCATCCTCCTGAATGCTGAGGTCACAGGATAAAAGAGCTTTTAAAGGCACAAAGCTACAAAAATAAATAAATAAATAAATAAATAAATAAATAAATAAATAAATAAAATAAAAATAAAAGAACGAGACGGAACGAGGCAGCAGAGGGCAGCCTTCCGGCGCCGTGGGAAGACAGCCAGCACCTGCAGGAGCAGGCCAGTCCAGAGTTTCAAACCAAGCACTTCCTTGGGGATGTCTGTGAAAGACATGTCGATACAGCCAAACCCCAGAAATCTGGGCCCTGCAGACAGGAGATTGCTGACAACAGGGGAGAGGAGGTGGAGTGTAAAACAGGGGAAAGGTCACACACTTGGAAAACGCGTCTCCTCCCCAGGTCACTGCCCCTCGGCTGAGCAGCCAGCCCTCGCTGCAGGGTGAGCAAGCAGCAGACCCAGAAGGGAGCGAGAGACAGCGGGGCTTCAGGAGGGATTTCTCTAGGGGAAAATGAAGGGAAGGGCTTAGCCGAATAGACCAGGCTGTTTTGAAATTTCCCAGACTGAATCGAGACAAATTTATTTCACATTCAAGCAAGAAGGGACAAAATCACCACCACTGAGAGCTGGGTCAACAGTGAATTAGGAGAAAATGAAGAGTCGACTTGTGAAGGACAAGAAGGTGGAACCGAGGATGCCGGGAACGCAGGGGTGGGAACCATATTTGCTTTGGGATGCACAGACTTTGTGGGTTAGGGTTTTCCCAGAGATATACAACAACTACTAGTATGGCATTTATTATATTAGGTCTTCTCTTCCTTATGTATTTACCTTTTTATTACATGTATTTATTTTTGT